GCCATCTGCAGCTCCGAAACAAGCTCGCGGCTAACTGCTGTTCCGCCATTATTAGTACCTCGTCTTGACTCTTGGCGAAGCGAAGCACATCACCCACACCGAGTCCAAAACCCTCAACCCGGAGTGGAACGAACAATGCGAGCTACCCGTCGCCGGCGTCCAGAGCCTCTTGTTGGACGTGTGTGCCTGGGATAAGGATCGCTTCGGGAAGGACTATCTCGGCGAGTTCGACCTTGCACTGGAAGAGATCTTCGCCGACGAGAAGACAGAGCAGATGCCCAAGTGGTACCCCCTGAAGAGCAAGCGGCCCGGAAAGAAGACCAGCATTGTTTCAGGGGAGGTCTTGCTACAATTTACCCTCTTTGACAGCACCAATCCACAGGCCACCGACGAACAAACCTTCGAGAAGTTTACCGCGCTGGTCAAATCAGCCCCGGGCGCCGACACGTCACGAAACCCTACACCATCGCGAACCCCGGTTCTTGCCCCAACCAAACAGGGCAAGGCCCCCTCACCCTCCCCGCCCCTCGGTGAAAGGCGGGCGGAGGAACACGAGGAGGAGGACGAGTACGATGTTTACGAGGACGAGACGCCAGAAGATGAAGACCCAACCAAGCCGGAGGCGGCGGAGAAGAGGCGGAGAAAACTGCGGATTCGGGGCCTGAAGCGCAAGAAGAGGGACAACCCCTACGAGTTCATCAACGGCGGCAGTGATGTGGTTGGCATCATCTTCCTCGAGATCGGCAAGATTACCGACCTGCCGCCCGAGTCCAACCTGACCAAGACCAGCTTCGACATGGACCCGTTCGTTGTTGCCTCGCTGGGCAAGAAGACTTACAGAACGAAGACAATCCGACACAACTTGAACCCCGTTTTCAACGAGAAGATGATTTTCCAAGTTCTTGGCCACGAGCAACTCTACAGCTTCTCGTTCACCGTCATTGACCGCGACAAGTACTCGGGCAACGACTTCATTGCGTCGGTGAACTTCCCGGTGAAGGACCTCATCGACAAGGCCCCAAAAGCGGATTCGGAGACCGGGCTGTACAACTTGAAGGATGTGCCTGACTTCTCAGCTCCGGCGCAGCGTCCTCGTTTCATGAGACTGGGGTTATCGCGCACCCCTTCGACTCAGAGCCTGAGCAAGCTCACCAGGCCCGGTCTGTCCAAGAACCCGTCCACCGCGACGGCCGCGAGTGTCGGGTCGCCTGTGCCTACCCCTGCCCCAAGCCCTGGTGCTTCCCAGGTCCTTGGTGACGGCTTTCCAGAATCTCCCCAGCCTGCGGTTGCCAACACCGGGCTCCTTCACCCAGGAGATAATGCCGTTGCCGCTGCTGCCTCTACCCTTGGAGAAACGACGCCGCCCGACGGTGAGGATCCGGAGTTCATCCCATACACACTTCCGCTCAAGATGAAGAACCAAGAAAAGTGGGAAGACAAGCACAACCCACAAATGTTCATCCGTGCCAAGTATATGCCTTATCCAGCGCTTCGTCAACAGTTCTGGAGGGCAATGCTGAAGCAGTACGACACCGACGAGAGCGGCCTCATCAGCAAGGTTGAGCTGTCGACCATGCTCGACACCCTGGGCTCGACATTGCGTGAGTCCACCATCGATAGCTTTTTCCAACGTTTCCCTCATAAGGCGGGCGGTAACGATGATGCGGAGGACTTGACCATGGACGAGGCAGTCATCTGCCTCGAGGACCAATTGCAAGCCAAGTCGCGACCACAGGGTGTGGCGGAGCGGGTGAAGAACATGCTTCCGGATGCCGACAAGGTCAAGAATCTGCTTGTTCCCACGCATTCGGGAACTGACACGCCGGCTGAGGGTCTCGAGACGCCATCCGAGTCGCAAACTACCGACACGTCGACGATCTCTGTCCCAGAACTGAGCACGCCTGGCGAGGAGGGTGATGCGCTTGATCGGGACGACTTAAATATCAACACGAGTGAGGAACACGTTGTTGAGATTCGGGAGTGTCCCATCTGCCACCAGCCGCGCCTAAACAAGCGCAAAGACGCCGACATCATCACGCATATTGCAACTTGCGCGAGCCAGGACTGGCGCCAGGTCAACAACCTGATGATGGGCGGGTTCGTCACTTCCAGCCAGGCGCAGCGCAAATGGTACTCCAAGGTCATCACCAAGATCTCGTATGGAGGCTATAAGTTGGGGGCCAACTCGGCCAATATCCTGGTCCAGGACCGTATAACGGGCCAGATCAACGAGGAGAAGATGAGCGTATACGTGCGCCTTGGCATCCGACTCCTGTACAAGGGCCTGAAATCGAACAGCATGGAGAAGAAGAGGAGTAAGTACACCGCATTGTTGAACAAGGGCCGAGCCAACTGAACTAACACGGATAGTCCGCAAACTCCTCAAGAGCCTCAGCATCAAGCAGGGCAAAAAGTACGACGACCCAGCGTCCAAGGCCGAGATCCCCAAGTTCATCGCCTTCCACGGCCTCGATCTCTCCGAGGTACTGCTCCCGCTCAACGAGTTCAAGAGCTTCAACGAGTTTTTCTACAGGGCGCTCAAGCCCACCGCGCGCCCCTGCTCGGCGCCCAACAACCCGCGCATCATCGTGTCGCCCGCCGACTGCCGCTCCGTCGTGTTTAACCGCATCGAGACGGCCACCAAGGTTTGGGTCAAGGGCCGCGAGTTCAGCATCAAGCGGCTCCTCGGCGACGCATACCCCGAAGACGTAGGCCGCTACGAGACCGGCGGCGCCCTGGGCGTGTTCCGCCTCGCGCCGCAGGACTACCACCGCTTCCACATCCCCGTCGACGGCATCATGCGCGAACCCAAGACGATCGCCGGCGAGTACTACACGGTCAACCCCATGGCCATCCGCTCCGCGCTGGACGTGTACGGCGAGAACGTGCGCATCATCGTGCCCATCGACACGGCCGAGTTTGGCCGCGTCATGGTCATCTGCGTCGGCGCCATGATGGTCGGCAGCACCGTCATCACGCGTAGCGAGGGCGAGGAGGTCCGCCGCGGCGAGGAGCTGGGCTACTTCAAATTTGGCGGGAGCACGCTCGTGCTGCTGTTTGAAAGCGGCAAGATGGTCTTTGACGACGACTTGGTGGACAACTCGAACACGGCGCTGGAGACATTGGTAAGCCATCCCCCCCACCAAATCACTACCCCTATCCCGCCGCCCACCTAAAAAGAAAACGAAAAAAAAAAAAAAAAAAAAAACATAACAAACCCACTAACCACACCCCCTTTTCACAGATCCGCGTCGGCATGTCCGTCGGCCACGCCCCCGACGAGCCCATGTGGACGCCCGACATGCGCAAGGACGAGAACCAGATCACGGCCGCCGACAAGGCCGAGGCTAAGCGCCGCATCCAGGGCCAGGTCGCCGAGGAGTCGCCCGACGACAGCGCCAGCGCTAGTGGGGTGGAGGCGGAGGCTGCAGAGGGCGGCGCCGACGGGGATGGAGGGGTCTCGGTAAGGGTGCCGCCCGTGGCGTCGCTTGCTGGGTGAGCGGTGGTGGTGGTGGTATTCGTGGTTATCGGTCTGGACGGCGGAGGGGTATATAAGTGGTGGCGGTGGTGTTGTCCCCTGCTGTTATCGTAGCGTTGGCTTGATGCGAGACTGCCGGCCGTCGTTGCTGTTGGCTGATAGACTGGCTGGCTGGCGGGCGGGCGAACTGGCTGGGCGTGGCTTTTTCTCCCCTGATGAATTGGGTTTATTAGCAGTGCATATATATTTGTTGGGCATTGAACAAAAAGAAGTTTACTCGGGGGGGAATATACACAGAGGATACAGGTTTTGCTGTGGCGGCTGGACTGGGCTGTTTTGTCTGTGTGTATGCCTTTTCCATTCATGTTATTTCATGTTAGGTATAGACTATCACCTGGAGTGTGAGCGGGTAGAATTTAACAGGGACTAAGTCTATTTGTGTATACCAACTTCCTTCGACTCAGTTACGGTCCGTCCCATTGTAGGACACTTACTATTAACAAGGCCTTTGGTCAATTATATTGTAATTGGTCTCTGAGACAGGGATGTCTTTGAAAGTGCCCGAAGAGACAGTCTCGTCGAGAGTCTCTTTTCCCAATGTCCCTTGGCTGCGACACGGCGGATATTGCTTGGCTCGAAATAGCGGGGGCAAATCTCGTTCAATGTTAGCCTTCCAGATCAACCACCATGTGTTATGCATCGGTTATATGTGACATTGAAGTTGGGTGTGGCCGAAAATAGGGCATGTCCTCGGGTAGGCTGCGAATCAACGTCATCAAAGACTGGAGGCGAGGCCAGAATATATTTATTGCATGTATTATGCGCATGAAACCCCGCGCAGTGAACAGCTTAAACCTAGCCCTTAGTTCGGCAACCTCCCCTCCCTATCACAGCATGGACAGAGTCATCATCATCGGCACCGGTGTGTTCGGCCTATCAACGGCCGACCACATCCATCAGAAATGGCCCTCTGCACAACTCTCCATCGTTTCCCGGCCTTCTACCCTCGCCCCGAGCGACGACATCTCAAAGATAGTCCGTGTTGATTACAGCAACGCAGAGCGAATGACAGAAGCAGTCGCGGCTCAGAAGCAGTGGAACAGTGACACCAAGTTTTCCAAGTACCAACGCAGCATCGGCCGCGTAGTGATTTACGAACAAGATGACGCAGCTACAGTCCAGAAGATCAACGAGGTTCGTGAGGAGCTTGGGTTGTCGCGCCGAGAACCCGGCGACAGGACGCTGATGAAGGACACATTCGGGACGGCGGCGGCTCCGGAATCCTTGACGTACATCTCAGCTCCGGACGACAGCATCGTCGACTGGGAACCGTGCATATCTGTCGCGAGGGCGCGAGCCAAGGACGCTTGTGTAAACAGCGGTGGAACCTTCTACGAAAGTGGTGTTACTAGGCTCGTCCAAGACGGAAATCGAATTACTTCACTTATGCTTGAAAACGGGGAGGCGGTCGAGGCCGGGGACGCGCAGATTGTCCTGGCTGTCGGCCCATGGTTTGCTCAGGTCCTTGACGCATCTGACATCCCCCTCCCCCCGGCAGGGAGGATCCCCATGGCTACCGGCTTGTTCTCTTACAACGTCCAGCTGAATGAGGAGCAGACCAAGTTTTTCAGGGGCAAGCCGATGGTATCTCATAGGGGGAAAGGTCGGTGTTTCTCCGCTCGTCCATTCTTTCCGCTTGCTGATTAGGTACTTTCAACAACTTTAGTTGACTTTCTCCCTCCATCTCGAGGTTGCGTCGGTAAGCTCACGTGGGTAGAGCCTTTCACCAACTTGCGTGGCTCTCCTCTCTCACGTGTCGAGGATCTTTCCAAAAGTGCTCTTGCGAAGCACCACATGCAGAAGACGATCGAATGGGCCAGGGAGTTTCTACCGGCCCTTAAGGGAGCACACATCAGCTCTATCACATCATATTGGTTAGTACCCAGACCCTAGTTGACGGGGTTACGCATCGCGAACTGAAGCCCCGTCACTGTACGAACAGGGACGGCGTCACGGCAACGCAGGACCCTCTCATTGCCAAACACCCCCAGTTCCCCAATCTCATCTGTGTTGCTGGGGGATCCTATAACCGCGCCAAAGACCTCCCGACCATTGGCAGCACCGTCGTCGATGTTCTCAGCGGTCGGGACGTTCCGGACCGGTATAGCTGGGAGCCGGAGCGGGAGTACTCTCACCGCGATCACTCCCATCTTGTCGCCAGAGGCGACTTCGGCGCCATGGAGACGGAAGCGCAAGATATGATGGATCCAGCTGCAGGTAATTTGTTTTTAGGCGTAATATAGGTTTGTGGTGGGTGGTCCGGTCCTTGAGACGATTCGTTTTGTTAGCTGGAAAATGTAGTTTCTCTTGACTGCCGAGCTGCTGAGACTCAAGACGAGGACCAACTGTCCAAGCAACCTCCAAGAATCTCAAGGGATGGCCGAGAATGGCGAGGGAAAGAAAAATTGGAAAAATATCCGTCATTCGGAAAGGGGCGAAGTAAACATGAAGGACAAAAGGGTATCAATTCACTACCAAGCGCCGCCGTGATGCTATCCCAATTGTGTCCGCCGCCGGCTAACCCACTCACTTGCTTTGCATGTATGTAGGCATCGGCAAGTGGGTGCGGCAAGGGAACAAAAAAAGAAAAGAGAGCCCAGAAAGAAGACCCCAAAGTCAAAAGAAGAGCCCCATCCCACATGCCATCCCAAAAGTTTCCTAAGCCACAGCCCCGCCCCCATGTTCGGGCGGATGCAACCACCACGTTGGCCATTGTAAATACACCGATTGGCCGATGGCATCGAACGCGAAAGCGAGATCAATGTCGCGTGTGCCTATGTTGTGCGTCGCTGGAGAGCTATGTTGGGGGTTGCAATGACGACAGATGATGGAATTGTGGGTGCGGATGGTGTTTTTTAGGAGATGGTGGTGATGACAAAGCCCAGTGGACTCCCGAAACTCCAAGCCGCTTAACTCCGGGACTGGCCGTTGCCAGATGCCTTCAAAAAAAAAAGAGAGATAAAATGTTGGTAGGGTTGGTGAGGGTGAGGGTGTGGTGTTGGCGTGAAACGCCCGACCGAGCCTCGCGCCTTGTTTTGATGGCGGTGAGTGTTGTGTGTTGTTTGTCGGGCGTCATGTAATCGACCTTCATCCACTTTGCATTCTGAGGCTCCCGCAATTGTGTGGGTGAGTGGCTTGCAAACACCCATCCATATCAATCCCATCCATCCATCCACCGGCAAAAGGTTTCCGTCTCAGATCATGGCAGGTCGTGAAACAGTCGAGGAGCCTAGCGGGACCCCCACTGCCAATTGGACCCGGACGGCTTCCGTGTCAACGGCGGTGGGAAGGACTCGCTGCGATCGCTGTCCATGGAGCGCTTCTCGGCAGGCGATGACGGGCGGTGAGGGTATGCCGAAGCGGAATTGGCACTGGTATTGTTGGTGAAGGCGGTGGAAGTTGTCGGGGGGCTCAGGTCTGGCGAGGTCTGGCGGGCCTGGCGCCAAGAAGAATAGATCTGCTTGCACAGGTGGGCAGACATGGTGTATGTCGGCGACATGATGGCGGTTTGTTTGAGGTTTATCCTTGGAGGAATAAACAAAGGTAATTTGGAAAATGGCGAAGAATGGACTGGGAAAGAAGCTTGACTGAGCTTCCTTGGCGGCGTAAATTATTGATTGCACGACACAGTTTGTTAGTGAATGAATCAACAGCTGTGAGCTGACTGTCTCGGTCTGATTGCTGTTGGGAGATTGCGTAGAAAAGGAGTGCGCGAGGAAGAAAACCAATAACTGGTTAACCAGGGCACAAAAGAGTTCGGGTGTCACAGAAGTGGGAAGAAGCAGATTTTAAATCATGACTTGTTCATTAACAACCTAACAAAACACACCTCTTAGGTCACCTTCCCACCAACAGGCGCTGTTCCACACCACCCTGTGACCATCTGCACTGACACGACTGACCGAGCAATGAGCAATCCTGGCTGCCGTCCGCCTTACAACAGAACATCCCGCCTGGAACCTGAATATACCAACCAATCAGAAACAATGTATTACCAACAATGTGGCTTTGCAATTTAGTGTGGCTTGTTGTTCTGGGCCGATTTCCAGGGACCCAGCAGCAAGGCTCGTGCGTTTGACGCCAAAAATCGACCCATGTGGTGCCCCGAAACCACCCTCCTTCCTGCAGTGACAACAGCGGGTAAATCACGATTTCTTGTCCCGGGTCGCGTGCTTGCGAGGCAGTCATTCAGGAACACTACTTCCTATTCGTATAGTTGCCTATTCTGAGATTGCCATGTTTACCTCATGGAAATATCCAGGTAAATGAGGGTAGGGCTGGAATCACAAACACAGCACTGACCGCCTCATCTCACCTTACCCAAGGTACCCAGGTAGGTACCCAAGTACCATATGCATCGACTCAACACTTCCATTGTTTGGATTGGTGTTTTTGGCCCAGTTAGGTTCGAACACGGGAACTGTGGCATTATTACCTAATCTGGCTCAAACAGCTCGGTACCTCGCTTGGTTGCGTGCCGAGTGCGGCTCTTCTGTATATCTCCCCGCAAATCGCTTGGGGGCCGAAACCTGAACCTCACCTCACAAACACGGCGGTACGGGCATATTTACTCCCCCCTGTTATCGACTGAAGGATAGGGCCAGCGACGTCTCAGCTCTTCCTGTCGGGTAGCGGTGGTTAGGGTGGACCTTATTTCCCTCCTCCGAGACCTGATGGAAGCATATTAACCAAGTTACGATGGGGCAATAGCAGGTACTTGACAATCAAATGCATGAAGCCGGAGCTGATTGTCAGATACATCTCTATATATTAATCATTACGAATACTTCGTCCATGTCAGTTATTTATAACTTCTAGACATACCCTCCCCGTTGATATGTTCAATCTTCTTTATACACCACCACGCTATGCTATCAATCTCTCATCGCGACCCGATATTCCCGAGGCCGGCAGCGAACTCGTCCCAGAGAAAACCTTGGCTCTGTTTCTCCCCCCCATCCTTTCACCCCCTCTCCGCTCTTGGCGGCGCACGGCGCGAGGCCTGGAGCATTGGCTCCGAAGCTTCTGTGCAGCTCGTCCGTGGTCGTAGTCTGACAAAATGTTGTTCTTCCACTCAGACGCAATGCCTGTAAGCGAGACAGAAAGCCAGACATCACCGCGCGGCGAGGCCTCTGGTGTAGGACCCGACGCCCCAAAGGCGGTGTAGTGATATGAAGCAGCTCAATCAACCATCCAGCCGGTCTGCCTCTTCAGTCGTACGTCAATCTGGAATCGGTCTCGTAGCCCTTCTCAGTCGGCCTGATCTCCTTGATGGGATGCAGGATCATGGACGGGAGACACGGGCGGCCGTGCTCGGCTTCCCACTCGCTGCCGCCGATTCCGGTATCCTCGTAGCCGACCCAGTTGTTGTACAGCCGCTGCGGGGGATAGGCGCGGAAGTACCAGGTGGCGCCCATGTACCGCCCCTCTTGTCCCCACGCCATGGAGCTGCCGAAGCTGCCGCTCTGTCCCTTGGGCCCACCGTTGAACCACTTGGCAAGCTGAGAACCCTTCCACGCACGGTCGAAAAAGACAGGCATTGGGGCGTACACCCCCTTGAAGCCGTGGAGAAGCGCTGCCGTCGGGGCCACCATCTCGGAAGTGACGTGGTTGCCTCGTAGGTCCTCGTAGTGCATGGCATCGATGAGCCGTCTCGAGAGCCTGGACTGTGTGATGATGGTGGCGCGGCGAGGAAGCCTCCCCCAGGGGAATGAATCCGAGCGATAGCCCCAGACCGAGTTACGCATGACCCAACCGCTGTTGACTGGGTTGAACATGGGAGAAAGCTCGATCAAATCTGCCTCCTCACCCACGCCCCACGTGTAATCATCGTCCTGGGGGTTGGCGACGGGGGGTGCGGGGCCGAGGGGGCTGACGACTGGAACCTTGGGCGCGCCCCAAACCGTCTCGGTGCCGACAGTCCGCTCCACCGAGGCGCGGAACTGTGTGTCAAAGTTGCCGTGGAAGGAGGGAATGTAAAACCGCTCGTTGCGCTCCCAGAGCCCCTTCCGTGGTTGCTTCCGACCAAAGTCGGCCAGTTTGGAGAGGACATCGTAGTTGTGCCCAATGATGCGGGAGTCCATTTCCCAGTTCCAGACGAACTCGAATTCTCGGAATTCTTGCATGAACATCTGGACCGGCAGGAACTGCCCGTGGTGCACCTTGCGGGCCTTGGTGGTCAGGTTGGTGTACATGCTGTTGACAGCGGGTTCGTTCCAGAGGACCGACATGCTCCTGAACTCGGCAGGGACGTGCTCCTCGAGTGCCTTGTTGTACGCATCGTCGGTCCAGATCTGGCGGTGTTCGTCCTTGATGTGCACAAACAAGAAAACCTCGAATTCGCCGCCGGTCCGGAGGTTCAATTCGGTGACGAGCGACCGAATGACCTCCTTGTCGTTGTCGGTGTATTCCTTCCCAGAGAAGCTGCGGAGGAGCAGCGCAGTCCTCGGCTCCAACTTGTGCGTCGCGTTAGACGGCCGCTTGGAATTGACGACCGGCTTGTCCGACCTCCGCTGAGAACCCCGCTTGCGCCAGAACCGCCTAACAGTGTGCATGATGTGCTCGTTTTCGGTATCCTCATTGCTGCCGGCGTCTCGCTTCGAATCGGTGGAGCCGCTCCCATCCGTGGCGACGTATTCGTTTTCCGGGCCATCCGGGGCAAAGCGAGCGCGATTCCTCTCGAGGCAGCGATCCTGGAGGTCGCCCCAGTTGACATTCTCCCAATTTATCTCTGCGCCGTCAGCCGTCACCACCGGTGACATCCCATACTGCCCCATCCGGGTCTCCCGCTCGAAGCACAAATTCCGGTCGAGCCCTAGGACGTTGTAGCTTCCAAAGCCGGGGTTGGGGAAGTTCTGCGGGCGGCCCTTGAACACGCGGATATCTTCAACCTCCCTCCCCGTCGCACCGATGCACGGCACATAGGTCGCGTGGTGCGCTTTCCACTCGGGGCTGTTGTAGTTCGGATATGGGTTAAATGTGACAGGCTGAGCCTTGCTGAAGGTGACCGTCGTGTTAGAGTCTGGGTTGAGTTGCTCCTCTTGCGAGGGCTTTCTCGTTTCTTGATCGACAAGAGACTCGAGGGTATTCCCGTAGATGGCCTTGTAGCCGGGTCGACTAAACCGTCATGTTAGTACTATCACCATTCGCGCGGCATACGTGACTCGTACTTCTTGAGCTGATGGTACTCCTTTTCAAACGTTGCCCTTTGTGCTTGCAGTTCCTTAAGACGGCGTTCGCCTTGAGATTTGTTAGCTGTCATTCGAAAGCTGGTTCAGGGAAACCCATGGTTACCTACCGGGAACCCGCTCGAGGAAGTGGTTGCTCTCCAGGAACGCTGGACTCTGATTCAACTGGCCATTGTGACGCAACAACCCCAATAGGCACAGCACGAAAAGAACAAGGACCGCCGGCAGCACGGTTTTTGGCCGGGACAAGACCCGACGGGCCTGTGTCTTCACCGCCGCCGCTTTCACAAGCATCGTCAAGATAAGAGGTCTAATAAGAGGAACAGAAGGCGACCGGAAGGGAATACAACCGGTAGTCACAAAAGTCCGAAGTGAAATCCGAAGTGAAGGTCGCTCTTAAACAGGCATGACCCAAAGTTTGTTACACAATAACTAATGCCAGACGGCTTGCTGTTGAAACTTGGGAGTAAGATGAGAGCGAGGGGACAGTAAACTGCAGGGCCTGCCGAATGGTGCTGAAACGAATGATTGCACCAGAGAAGGGAAAAGTCGGTGACCTGATCGAAGACGGGGGGCGTCCAGAATGGAGGAACGAGAGGCTGGTGATAACGGTCGACCAGGTTTCCGTGTCAAACGAACGATAGCGACTGTCGGTGGGTGTGAAGAGTGGGAAAAAGAGTTGAAACGGTTTTGGGCTTGGAAGTCCAGTGTTAATTAGATAGGCTCGGTAGGCAAATTCTTGATAAACCAGGGCCAGGCGTGGGTGGCGGGCATCAGGGGCGGGCAGGGGGGGTCGGTCTCCCGCAGTGGGGTGGAAGCCCGAAAATGTTGCTTCAAACGGTGCCGGTGACAAGGTTCAAGGTCGGGGATGGAGGGGAGCGAGATGAGACAAGGGGAACAAAACAGAACAACCAACGGCATTTCCCATTTGCAGAGCTTGTCAACAAGCGGCCGACCAAGGAGTGGCAGCACTGGCAACGACCTCGTCTGCTCGTTACAAGGGTCACACACTTTCTTCCCAGCACCTCCAACAACAAGCGAAAGACGGCCTCTCCACGTAAGCACCCTTGTTGATCATAGCGAGTCCCTGAGATTTCTCGACCCATGATTGGGATGGAGCCTCAGGGAGCCAAACGCCAGCTGCAGAAAGAGGATTTCGGGTGGGCCCGTCGCTGCAAAACCCCTTGTTGCAGGGAAGGGGCGGCTGAAGATCTTAGTCGAGTACAGATCTTTGCGTACCGGGCTGTGTTGGGCGATCGCCATTCAACTCCCGCTATAACGTCATTTGCATGTCGCACCATCAGCGATCGACGGCAACCTACTTCTTCAAGAATTTTCAAGTCGAGACGTGCTTCCGACCCCCGTCGCGGGTTTTCCGACAGTGGTGATAACAAACGGCCTCATGGTTGCAGCTATTCCGAGCCATCTTCCCATCCCCCACTGGCATTGAAAACACCAACACTTCACTTATGAAGAATAGTGGGCCCAGAACCGGTTCTTTCCTAAAGCGGGTTGACGCCACCACCCTCGAAGGGACGTCTCCCCCTGACAAGCTAGAGAAGGGGGCAGGCCTAGAATCTTGGCCCCAGTCTGCGCCAAGCGTGGGAGGATCGAAAAGCTCGGAGGGAGTACCGAACCGGCAGTGGAAATTCACTTCTCGATTGTTCGGCCGGTCCACTGGTGAAGTTTCCATTTCGGCCAGGGCAACACGTGTTTCAAAGAATCGGAATTCCTTCCTGTGTTACAGAGTACGTACATATATGTATAATTAATGAGACCCTTGATGTCAGAACATTCTCCGAAGGAGCGCGCATGTGTTATCAAGGCTCAGTGTTTTCGGGATGAGCGAATTTAATGAAGGGGTTGCGGAAGAGGGAACTGATCGTGCAGTCGAATTTCACCGCTGACCGCTCCGAACCTTGTCCAACGCGCCGCCATGGTTAACCTGGCCAAGGCCAGGGGAGGGCGCCATGTCCAGGGAGCTCACCGACTGGCCTTAACCGCCCTCCTCTTTCTCCATCGGTGTAAGCGCCCTTTCCATTCAGCCAGCAGCGTTCTCAAGCCGGCTTGTTGGAGGAGGTTCGGATTTCGCACACCAATCCCGAGCTTATTTTCGAGCCCTGCAATCAGAGAGCCGATGCACAGGTAGCGGGGGTGTTGCGCCGCCGAAACAAGAAAGACGGAGAAGATGAATGAGCGGACTTGGAAAAAAAAAAAGGCAAGCTGACCCGAAGAAACATGGGTCGAAATAAGCGTTTCTGCGGGAGGAAGTGAGATCTGCCGGGATTCTAGAACTGGGTAACTCCAGACTGAACCATCAGCGGCGCATGTGTAACCATTCGCATCCTGCTTCTTGCCGATGATACATAGATTAAAACGTTCGGGGGATTTTCGACAAGTCGAGGTCCGAGCCCGTTTTTATATATGAAAACACCGATGCATCAGTTTGTACGAAGTACGCAGCAGAGCCTCGATGTTCCAAGGTGGAACGAAACAAAAGATGTCTCGTGCTCGAGGCTGAGACTGTCTCGTCACAAGCTGGCCACACCGACCTGAATGTTTGCGGTAATTGTTTTTCAGTTCACACTAGCGTTGTCAAATCAACCAACGCTGGTCATGCGTATCATGGTGGAGAGTATCTTTCATTTTTTGGTGGCCTCGCAGTAAGTATTAAGCACTATTGTTTATATACATAATTTACTGTTCCTCGTTACACCAACATCACTCTGTTTCCACGTGTGTGACAGTGGCTGCGTTTCTGTCCGCTTCACCACAGTCCGTCTCCAAGTCTCGCGTATGCCATGCACGCAACCAGGTGGCTGCTGCTGCGCGCCGGGATCGACCCGTTGGCACAACGTGACAGAAGGCTTCCAGATAGCGTGACGACGCTGTCTCAGACCGTTTGGAACAGGTCCGATCCCCGAGGCGTTACACAGCTGAACGCCAGAAACTCAGACTCTGTCAGGCGCTGCTCTGTAATCCCACCCATAGCCCGCTTGTAATGACCGGGGCCTCCCAAGAATCCCGCATGCTGGACAAGTGCTTTCCGGTCCCCTTTTCCAATCTCCCAATTACCAGACCATAAAGACAAAGTAAAGTGCAAATATGCTAGACCGAATCCAGTGGGTATATGAAGCGAAGTGGTGATCGGGGTATCGAAAATAAAAAGAAAGAATAGGAGCCTCAATCCATGAGTGCTCGGGCCAAATGTGAATATTAGATGGCGGCATCGAGCCGTTTCGTGCGCGTTGACGCGTATTTGGCGCATTACCGCGGAGCCGTCGTCGAGTGGGCATAGTCCGCAGATGGATGACGTTGTTCGGTCAATGTATCGCCTGCTCACATCATTCCCAACCTCGTCATCCTCTTTTCCATCTTCGGTTTCTGTCCCATCGGCCCCAACCTGCTGGGGTTGTAGCCGCCGCCCATGCCACCTCTCGGTCCACCGGGCAAACCCATATGCGGAGGCCGGAACCCCATCCCACCACCCCTGCCACCTCTACCACCCCTGCCACCCCGACCGCCCATCCCACCCCTGCCCCCTATACTACCTGGAGCATCACCCGGTCCACCGCCGGCGAGCCTCCATGCGTCGTCTCCACAATAAGCTTTCCCATTCACCTCAAAGTATCCATCCCTCAATGCCATCCCGCACTCGCCACACTTGAAACATCCAACGTGGTGCTTCACCGAGGACTCGTCCTCGAGGTACTGGCCCTCGATACCCCTGCCACAGCTTCCGCAGAGGCTGCCGTTGAGCTTATGGTAGTGGAGCTCACAGTATGGCCTGTCTTCAAGTACGTAGAAGGTGGACGAGGAGAAGGGCTTCTGGCAGGTCGAGCAGACAAAGCACGGTTTGTGGTACCGGCCTGTCAGACGACCATCCGCGCTCGATATGGACTTGCCCTTGATCGGGAGACCACAGGCTTTACAATCGCCGCGCGCTGAGGTGGGAGTTGGCTCACGGGAGCGAGAGCGAGAACGTGGGCGTGAGGGCTTCGGTGCTTCTTGTTGTGGTGGTTGTTGTGATTGTTGTTGTTGCTGTTGTTGTTGCCGTTTCCACGGCGGTTGGAATTGTACTGGGGTTGGTAGTTCAGGATATGCCTCCGAAGGGCGTCTCTCGCTAATCTGCTCGTCCCCGTCGGGTGAGGCGGCCCATCCTGGAGAGGGGAAGCCAGGTGTGCTGGGGGAGAGGATGATGTCATTGGGTATTTGGACTGTCAGGTTGTCTCGGAGTGGTCTGTCCGGCATCGGCGACGGCAAGGGAGCCCTGTCTTGACCAACGCGCGGGTTTTGGATTGCAGGGTCGATACGCGGGTCATACCCTCGGTCTCCTGAGCGGGGCGGCCGCGCGCTCAAAGGCGAGGGGCGGCCCCCAGTCCCCCCCGACGGGATCATCAGGGGCGCTGGCATTGGTGGCTTTGGTTTTATGTCAGTCATGGAAGATTGGATATCCGTCATCAAGTTATCGAGACTTGATGTATCAGAGGGGCTCTTCCCCGACCGAGAGCCTAGAGACCTTGGCGGGCTTGTTCGCGAGCTGGCCTGGCTCGTTTGACTCGCCTGACTGGGCCGGCGTTCCGGCTGACTGCTGTCTTCCGAAGAGTTGGTTGATGACGTTGATTCCGACGGGTTGTGGTACGGGTTCCCAATCCCAAACTCCTCGGCCAGATTGATGGTTGGTACGACAGGGGTCGTCGGCCGAATCGCGCTGGTTCGTGGTGGCGGTGGCCGAGAGGTATCCGGCCCTCTGCTCGGTCTCCTGGGGCTCGTAATCGGAGACCGTCCGTCAGGTGCGCCCGGAGAATCCAGCGGGGGTTGCAGTCGATCCGGCCGCAATGCTGCGGAAGACAGCGGAGCGGTCGGCGTGCGAGGGGGTGGGGCGAAGCGCTCGCTGGGTCGGGGAAACGTCTCGGATCTATTCGGCGTCGTGGGCAGGTCAAGGCCGTTTTCCGACGCTTTCGGGGGCGGGCCAAAACCCCCATATCCTTTTTGTGGCTTTGGCAGTCTTCCGCTCCCGGAGCTGCTGCTAGCATTAGAGGCCGAGGTGCCGGGACGCTCGTCGGCGCCTCCAGGTGCACCAAGACCGGCTGCTGAAGGTCGGCGGGCTTGGCCGAAGGGGCTAGCCGTGCTGTCCAACAAATCCGGCTCCTGTTTTTTTGGAACGTATGCCCGGAAGCCCGAGTCCTCGAAGGTAGTACTGCCCCCAAATCCTCCATATCCACCCGGTCGCATCGACTGTGGCGGAGAGTTGTCCGCAATTTCTGGCGTAAAGTATTCATCGGTTTTGCCGGTCTCTGACTGCCCAATTGGGGTTTGCGGCGATATGCTATTCTCTTGGCTGATGGGTGTAAGCTGAGTTTGGCCCATATATGAGCGATCTAGTCCACTGTCAGCAAGATTCAGCAGGCCGGGCTTGGGGTAACGCGTACTAGCCGCCGAAGTGTCCACCTGGGGAGGCGGCCGGGGTTGTTGCTTCTGGGCTAATGGGTTGCTGAAAGCTGGCATCAGTCTCCCGAATAGGGAGGCCGCAGGCAATGGGGGCGTGGCTAAAGGCGATGTTAGTCGGGGCCGGGGGGGGGAGAGGATGGGGTTGTTGTCATCATACGTTCCACCGGTGAACCAGACCCAGTGCAGAGATGCTCTCCCATCAGGGATATTTCCACCTGTTCGTTGCATGACGAACATTTAACTGTCGGCATGAAGCGCGACTCCCTCCCTACTGTTGCCATTCTCAAGTGTACTCGGCGATTCGCGATGGGAGGTGCAAGCACTTGGGGTGCGAAATCGGGAAGCGGATGCGAAGTTCCGAAGATGACCTGCCCCCCGGGTCTCCTGCGCCGCCCTGTCCTGCCGCCGGGGAGCGTGTGTTGTTGTCCTCGGGCCGGCCCTCCTCCAAACCGGGGGCAAGCGGCGGAATAAGTGGTTACTGGTCTTCTTGTTGTGCCGGTTCAGGGTCTAGCACCCAAAACAAGCAAAGGCGGATGTTGATGGCAACGATTACTTGGAGTAACCGCTCAGACAGTGGATTCTACCAGAAGGAGGAGAGGATCCCACGGTGTGCCGGGACCGATCTGGTTTTACACGAACAGGGCCCCGACAATGAGAGAGTCTAGACCTGCCAAGCCGGGCTGTGCGTGATTCTCAACCGGCTGCACAAAATAAACGAGTTGTGGGGAGGGGAGGACGGGCAAGTGGTGTTGTTGCGGATCGTGTCTCGAAAGTGGAGGGTGAAGTTGGCCGTCGGGGTGCAGATGCAAGATGCAAGTGTTTCCCAAAAGGATGATGAGTTGGATGAAGAGCCACGGGCGAAAGGCCAGCCCGTTACCTCGTACACCGACCCTGGCCCCGGGCCTCTGTAAATCGCTGCAGGGACGATGATGGGGGTTCGGTGGCCGCACAAGGGTCTCGTGCCGAGACCCCCCGCTTTGGAGGAAGGAGCCGGGGATTTGATGTGCACAGATGGAGCGAGGATCAAAGCCTGACCAGGGTCCTGGCCCCCCTGACAGCCAAACGTCGCCGTCTTGGTGCATCTGCACGCTGCCGAATCTCCTTCCCCCAGTGCAACCAGGCAAAAGCGAGCAGATGGCCCGCGCGTCCTTGCATGAGTCTAGTCCCGATCTGTGAATGGGCGCCGTGACAGCTCCCCAGATGGCAATCGCAACTTGTCGCCATGAGCGGTGAGGAGGCGAACAGCAAGAAGCACAACGCTGCACCTGACTGCTCGGGGGCGGGTGAATGGCGACGTCGGCTCTCGAACTGGCAATAACCCTGAACAGGCCATGGAAGCTCGACTCTCCGGCCCTTTGGTCGTCATTTCGGCGGTTTCCTCGTCGTCGCAATGCCCACGTTCGGCAAATTTGGCCTCATCATGCAACGCGATGGAAGAAACCACACGTCGCTCTCCCTGTCGCCAGAGGCTTGTCGCAATCTTTTGGGGCTCCACATCGCTATCGATCAACGCCCACCTGTTGGAGCGCCAACAGCAGAGAAGGAGAGTCTCGGCTGCTGGAGCGGGTACCTTGCAGTAGCACTCGCCTCATTCACCTGATTCGCCTCATCCAATGGCTGAGAGGGGGAACTGGCACGACTTTGGTGGCCAACCCCCAAAATGGGGATGTTATCGTCGTTCCAGCATCTCCACGAGACGGGATCGTGACCGCCACCGCGTCTCAGATTTGGAGTTGTCATGCCGTTGACGGCCAACGGATTCTATTCTCTCTCGTATATCTCAAACAAACTGGCGGCAAGAGCCTCGCGAAGGTTATCATCACATCGACCCCAGTGTCCCCAAATTACGAGGCAGGTTGTTACACCCGTTTTGTTTTCCTTCGTCCTCGCTTTCAGTGACCAAGATACTTGGAACGCTGTTCCTTTGGGTTGTTTCCGGATCCGTCATCTGATTGGTACCGAGCGGCACGCCAGCAAATCGCTGCATTTCCAGCTGCTCACAAGGCTCGTCGACGTTGCACATTCTTCGGCCGTGTGGTGTTGGTGTTTAAGATTGCCCCCCGACGCATCCAATGATCGTGCTGGGATGACCTGCTGCCCTGCCAAGCCCATTACCATGCCAGGGCCCCTGTCATCTTGGGCCTGGAGAAATGCGGCCGGCCGCCGAACACCCTTGTGGCTGATTGACTTCCAGAACTTCGAAAGTCCTTCGTCATCATCTCGCTCACGTCAACCAACCACGCCTTCGGCGAATGGAAGAACCGCTCGGCCAAGTGCCGGGCTGATTGCGCAAGATCGAGATAATCGAGCGATGGGCTGGGAGCCCGTCGTTGCGGTTCCACTCAGCTGAGCTTACAATCTCGTCCCGGGCACCTACGAGGTATGCGGGTGACCACCTGGCGCGGCCATTGGCCGAGACCTTTTCCCCTCACCATCTCCAAGTACGAAGACGCAGCGGTAAATCTGGGTTGTCGCCCGGCCTTTTTTGAGGCCAGCTTCTTGTGTCAGGCTGAACGTCAGCGGCTGATCAAGGGGTCATCAAATTGCCGCCGCTTGGCCAAGCCCCATACATTCCACACGCTGATATCAGCCGCGATTCCCAACTTCATTCGTTAGCAAGAGGTCAGAGTAATTCCGTGTCCATTTGGACAATGCTTGACCGGACCGGACGGCGGAAATGTGCCAATGCTGCATCCGGATACCACCCATCTGCAACCCCACACCCAACCGAACCACTCGTCCCCACGGGTAATTCATGCCTCGCGTCCGGGTGCGCTGGTGAAACGAAGACCAACGAGACCGCAAGGTTGCCCCTCTATCACGCAGCTTGGCCAGGCTGTCATCAGGAACCTGCACGTCAATCTCCGCAGCGTTGGTGACTGCCTCGCAGAGGTCTTGTTGCCAGGCATCTCGCATCTATCATGAAATGATACGAGGTCGCTCTCAGCCTAGGATGGCACTCCAAGAGCGAAAAAAAGCCTAACTCTAAGCGCGGATAGTAAAATGTCGGCCACAGCTCGACTGTGGGAACCAAACCAGAAATTGAATCAACTCGTTTCCCTTCTCATTTCCTCGCTTTCTTCAGTTCGATCCCTTGTACCTGATCCCTTTTGATTGATTTATTCCTTGGGGCCCGGCTAAACTTTCTTTGGGTGAGATGGTGAGTACTAGGAAGGCTTGCAGTGCCCGAGAACTGAAGCCCTTCGTTTGTGATATGCCACCAAGAGGACTGATGATCGAGTTTTAAGTAATCACATACCAAAACCTTGGACTTTGTTTTAGCCAACGGTCAACCATCAACGTGCTGATAACGTAAGTTTCAAATGGAAGGCGAGGGAAACATTTTGCGGCCAAGGGCTTGGTCCGAATCCGCCATGCTTTGCCATTTTCACGCATGAAAGCTGCCAAATGAGAGCTTTGGCTGCAGCGCTCACCGCCTGTTATTGAGTTTGGCCAACGTGTCTATTCTGCAATCGCAAGGTGGTGTTGGATCGGCCAAGCACCAACGACAATGCGGCCTTCACTCCTCAGAGGTAGGTTCTTCCCGAAACTCAGACGATTTTCGTGCCTTGAGCCATGGATGCTGCATGGGGTCGACGAATCCGGGGCGGCTCAACCGTGGCTCCGGCGTCGGCAAAGCGGCATGAGCCAACGCACGCAAAAATTTGAGGACAAGATACGGGAAGCTGCGAAGACCAAGGCTCATGTTCTTTGCCGAGTCCCGATTTCTGAAGAACAGAGAGGTGCCGCGTCTGTTTGCTGGCACGTTGACATCTCTATGAGGAGATGATCAGCACAATCTAAGATCATTTCGACCTTTTTCCGCGCTGGGCGCGGGCGGGACAAGAGCGGTGCCGCGGGAGAAGTGAGAGAGCGGCTCCGCCATCGGGAAACCCAACTCTCCCGTCCCGGAGACGGCCGGTCCTCGCGTGACGGACTGGCTCCGGCAGCATCGGACCACCAATCAACGATCTCAAAGCTCGCTTCCTCGCCCCGCCCCACCCCCACATCCCCGCGCTAGTTGCATAGCGAGTCTTGCGCAGAAAACAGTGCATTTTGGAGGGGTAGCGGGGTGAATGGACGACACAAGAACTTCACAGAATGCCAGAGGTGACTTTTTCACTATTATCAACAGCAGGAAAGTCAGATGTAGCCGATTCACAATCAGAAAAAATCAACGTGTTGATAATCCCATAAGGGTCATGGTCCTGTGTTTGCTTGCCACAGTTGCTCGCTTTCGGTTGGGATGCAAATCTGGAAGGGGATGGCCGTTCTGCAGCAGGTGAGCAGCCATCTCGACGGCGGCAGAAGCGGGATGGACCCGCTGTCAACTGTCGAATCTCTAGTGGTCGAAGATTCGAGTCTCCCCAGATTTAGCGGCCGAGTAATCCGAGACGTGGAGCCCCAATCTATGTAGGGAGTTAGGTAGGATAGGTTAGGTAGGTACGATGGATGTTAGCGCATCTTTCACCGCCTGGGCTTGGGGTATAAGAAGAAGGGGCTCCTGCCATTTCTGCCGAGCGAGTTTTCCTTTGTCAACCCACACCTATCTGCCCGTTACTTGAAGCTTCGATCACGATCTAGTTCGCCGACATTCTTGGGCCCGAGGCATTCAATTAATTTTCCGTCTTTCGTGCTCTAAGAGATCGCGCTTTCGAGCTGCGGTCCCTCCAGCCGTCAAAACGTTCTCCAACCTTCTCAACTCGTAAGCAGATTTTTATTCCACCTTTTACCAACAACAACAAACACGTCTTCTTCTTATCCGTCACAATAATGCTAACCGTTTCGATAGCGTCCACCACCCGTACGCAGGAGCCCGTTGTTCTGCCTCTCCCGGAGGAGCAGCGGACTCGATCCAGACCCAATAAAGTCTCTGTTTCCAGAAGACAAGTATTGTTGATCTGAAAATTTGCCAAAATGGCACCGCACGCTGAGACTGACTCTGGCACTGCGAACGGTGGTGGACACTCCAACAATGGTGTTGCTGGCAATGGCTCGGCCGCCCGCCCCAAGTTCATTGTGAACTCGCCCAATGTGGTGTACTCGGACAGCGAGATCCGCTCCAAGTACACCTACCGCACTACCATGGTGACTGATGGCGAGGACGGCACCCGCACCGTCACCCCCAAGGAGACTGTCTATGACTTCAAGCTCGACACCAAGATCCCCAAGGTCGGTGTCATGTTAGTCGGCCTGGGCGGCAACAACGGCACCACCATTACTGCCGGTATCATTGCCAACCGTCGCGGCCTTGTCTGGGAGACGCGCAATGGCCGCCAAGCTGCCAACTACTACGGCTCCGTTGTCATGGGCTCGACCCTGAAGCTGGGCACTGACACCAAGACCCAGCAGGATGTCAACATCCCCTTCCATGATGTCCTGCCCATGGTCCACCCCAATGACCTCGTCATTGGCGGTTGGGATATCAGCGGCATGAACCTGGCCGATGCCATGGATCGCGCCAAGGTCCTAGAGCCGACCCTCAAGGCCCTCGTCCACAAGGAGATGGCCAGCATGGTCCCGCTTCCCAGCATCTACTACCCCGACTTTATTGCCGCTAACCAGGAGGAGCGGGCCGACAACCTGATTGCCGGTTCCAAGGCTTGCATGGCCCACGTCGAGCAGATCCGCAAGGATATCCGGTACGTAACCAAGTCCCAGCTTTACGGTGCTCCTACCTCTAACCCAACTTAGTGACTTCAAGGCTGCAAACAACCTGGACAAGGTTATTGTCCAGTGGACTGCCAACACGGAGCGTTTTGCCGACCTCATCGACGGCGTCAACGATACGGCCGACAATCTGCTCAAGGCCATCGAGGCTGGCCACGAGGAGGTTTCCCCCTCGACCGTGTTCGCGGTTGCTTGCATCCTCGAGAACGCTCCTTTCATCAACGGTTCCCCCCAGAACACCTTTGTTCCGGGCTGCATCGAATTGGCCGAGAAGCACAACGCCTTCATTGGCGGCGATGACTTCAAGTCTGGCCAGACCAAGATGAAGTCGGCCCTGGTGGACTTCATGATCAGTGCTGGCATCAAGCTCACCTCGATTGCCAGCTACAACCATCTTGGCAACAACGATGGCATGAACCTGAGCTCGCACAAGCAGTTCCGCTCGAAGGAGATCTCCAAGTCCAACGTCGTGGACGACATGGTCGCCGCCAACACGGTGCTGTACGGCAAGGACGAACACCCCGACCACGTGGTTGTCATCAAGTACATCCCCGCTGTCGGCGACAGCAAGCGCGCCATGGACGAGTACTCTGCTGAGATTTTCCTCGGTGGCCACCAGACCATCTCGTAAGCACAAAAAAGCCTCTTTACGTTCGATTATCATTTGCTAACTAGGCTGGTTACAGTATGTCCAACGTTTGCGAGGACTCTCTGCTTGCTTCCCCGCTCATCATTGACCTGGTCGTGATTGCCGAGTTGATGACTCGCATCCAGTGGAAGCTGCACTCGGCTGAGGGAGAGGACGCCAAGGGCTACAAGAACTTCCACAGCGTGTTGAGCGTGCTCAGCTACATGCTCAAGGCGCCCCTGACTCCCCCCGGTACCCCGGTTGTCAACGCCCTGGCTAAGCAGCGCGCCGCCCTCGCCAATATTTTCCGCGCCTGCGTCGGCCTCGAGCCTGAGTCGGACATGACTCTGGAGCACAAGCTGTTCTAGGCTGTTTGACGCCTGCGCAGCTCTAAGCGGTCCTGAATTTGCCTACCGCGCAGCATTTTCATTGCATTCTGATTTCGAAAGTGATCTCCAGAGTTCTGCTTTTGAATTTGGGCCATCGTTTGAACGAACATTTATGCGACGCTTCGCGACACAATTAGTGGGCATCAGGACTTCTACTCTTTGAGAATTGAATGTTTCGAGGATGATCCACCGAGCCAGTTATTATAAAAATCCCAAGATTGTTACCGGGAACGTGCTCTTCTTTCCACTGAAAACGTGTGCGTGACGTGAGAAGATGGTGTCTGTTGCTGTTTCCTTGGGGGGATTCGTGCTATCTCCGGAGTGAATCCCCGGTCAAACACAGTAGATCCGTCAAGACTACGTGAGAGACGGTGTTCAACCATTCCGCTATGTACATCTCATACTGATAAAAACTGTGACATTAGGATATACTGTGCGCTAGGCTCGAGGAGCACTACAAGAATATAAAGCAATATTCTCTGGCTCTGCATCTATCATGCTGAAAAGTGCTAGATTCCGCCCCTTAAACCTCGTGTGCTGCCTTGGCCGAACCGGATAGAGGTTGGTAGAGCCAAACCCTCAAAACAGGGGGAGCGGGAGGGTTCTCCCAAAGCAGACTCGCTTGCTCAGAGTCGTGATGGCTTCTGTTTGCTGTCGCCCACCTCCTGCTTGGCGCGATCCCGAAGCTGCTTCCGGAGAATCTTGCCAGACTACACAAGGAAAACCGTCGGTTAGCACATACAAATCTTGAGACCATTCACTCCACAGGCTTATCCCCTCAAGTATTCACATGGGGTCGTTTTTACTTACCGGATTCTTGGGAACAGCATCCACAAACACAACACCGCCCTTGAGGCGCTTGTAGTGGGTGACCTTGCCCTCCATCCATGCAGCCACGTCCTTCTCCGAAGCTGTCGACTGCGGCCGCCGCACCACATACGCCCGCGGCACCTCCTCGCCCCCAATCGTCACCCCAACCACCGCCGCGTCCGCCACGTCCGGGTTCTCCAACAACACCCCCTCCAGCTCCGCCGGCGCCACCTGATTACCCTTGACCTTGATCAGCTCCTTCACCCGGTCCACGACATGGAAAATGCCCCCCGGCTTGTACTCCTCCACAAAGGCGATATCCCCCGTGCGCAACCACCTTGTCCCCTCCGCATCCACCACGATCGTCTCGGCCGTCGCCTCGGGCTTGTTCCAGTAGCGCCGCATGAGCGTCGGGCCCGTAACCCACAACTCACCCGTGACCCGCGCCTTCTCAATCGGCGTCTTCCCGTCCAGCGCCACCAGCCGCGCCCGGCAGTTGGGGTACACCTCACCCACGCCGGCCGAGCCCCCCACCGCCGACGTCAGGTCCCACGCGATGGCCGTGCAGGTGACCTCGGTCATGCCCCAGCCCTGGCGCACGAACAGGCCCTTGCCGGGGAAGAGGCGCTCGACCTCCTCGCAGACCTCGCGGGTCAGGGGGGCGGCGCCCGAGGCGATGGTCTCGATGGAGGAGAGGTCGTACTGGCGGGTGGCGGGGTGCTTGGCGAGCAGCACGACGATGGGGGGCACGACGGGGAGGGTGGTGACGCGGAAGCGCTGGATGTGCGAGAGCATCTTGACGAAGTCGAAGGAGGGCATGACGTACACCGGGATGCGCAGGTGCGGGAGGTTGGCGATGAAGTAGGTCTGGCCGTAGGCGTGGTAGAAGGGGAGGAAGGCCAGCCCGCGCTCGCGCGCCTGGCGCTCGGCGGCGTCGGGGCGCATGTTGTTGATGTGCACGACCCCGACGCCGTTGGCGACGTACGAGTGGTGGCTGATCTCGACGCCTTTGGGCACGCCCGTGGTGCCGCTGGAGTAGTTGAGGCAGCAGGTGGTTTCTTCCGGGTTGGAGGGTTCCTCCCAGCTCCAGGTCTCGGCTTGGCGGGGGTGGCCGGCGAGGAGTTCTGTCCAGTGGTGTGCGCCGTCTACGCGGCCCCTGGCGCCGGGCCCGGGGGAAGGGGCTTGTGCGAGGCGGGAGGTTGGGACGGTGCTGTTGCCCAGGACGAAGATGCGGTCTTTGGGCAACCCGACCTCGGCCGCTGCTTCGAGGGCCGTCTTCACGGCCTGCTCGGCAACGAAGAGGAACCTCGCTCCGCTGTCTTTGAGCTGGTATGCCAGCTCCCGTGGAACGAACGTCGGGTTGGCCCCGGTCACTATACCGCCAGCCATGAGGACGCCGAGGAAGACGGAGGGGAAGAGGAGGCTGTTGCTGGAGAAGATGAGGACCCGGTCGCCCTTCTTGATCCCTTCCTTCTGAAGGCCCAGGGCAACGCGCTTTGAGAGCAGACGGTAGTCGCTCATGGTGAGATAGTTGGTCTCATGGTTGTCTGGGTCGATGAAGGCCTGGTGGTCGGAGATGGGACCACATGCTGACCCGAGGATCCATTGCTGCAGGGAGCAGCGCGGAATGGGCACCTGCCAGCGTGATGTGATGGTCATGGTGAATAAGGGACTGTGGTGCTAATGCTGGGGTTAATAAGACCCAAGGCCGAGGCGGGACTTCATAACGTACCTACCCGGCCTGTGGGAGTTGTGAAGATTGCAAATAGTTGATATATGAGAGATTCGGAGAGGTTAATTTATCGCGGGCTGGTGTTCCAAAAACGAACCAAAAAACAATTCGCTACAACAATGGTGATGAGGAGAGGAGGGACTTGGGCCCTAGTTGGCGGTGTCAAAGAGGGAGGGGTAGGAGTCCAGATGGCTAGCCCTGAGGTATGGGTATATATACCTGGGCAGCTATAAGTGCCCCTAAACGCGAAAGCTTTACCGCAAGGCGAGGGCGGGTTGTTTTCCCTAACAACCGGAATCAAGACGCAAACGCTTGTGTTATCACCGGTCAGGACAAAACGACAATAAAACAAAGACACAGCGGTAGGAAGGCACGAGAGGTTTTGGTCCTAGAGTGTAGAGGCAGTCCCTCCCCAAGTAACCCTTGCCTTTCCTTTAAACGAAGGATTCGGTTGTCGGACTCCTCAACATCGGAGGTCCCGAAAGACCCCGCAGGTTCCGAGACGGTCTGGGGGTGGAGTTGGTGAAGTTTGGTACCCCTGTTGCGAATACAACGCTCTGGGAGCCACTTCTTGCGATGGAACCTGGAAGGGAATGTGGAGGTTTAGCGAGGTACTCCAGGTCCGAGTTCCATCTCCTCGACATGGCCTATTTCTCCTCGCTCCTCTGTTCCTTCCTTTTGCTCTTTCTTCCCCCCCTTCCGTCACACTGGAAACCGCGTTCCTCAGCTTCTCGCTCGCTTGTCTCGTGAGCTGGACTGCATGGTGGCTGCAGCAGCTTCGGCTTGACAAGTAGGGTGTCGCGATTGGAGGCGAGCGGAGCTTCTTACCGATTGGTTCGCTATAGGCGGGAACGATTCTCCCCCCGCATCCAGGGCCAGGGTTCCCCATAAATCGACAAGAGTGCCGAGGCACTGGCCGGCCCGGGTTTCGGGGACTCGGGGGGTTGGTTCGAGCTGCGAGAGCCATCTTATCTCCGACGCGGGCAGATCAGGTTCCGTCTGGTTGATAGATAACTAGTGTTCTTTTTGTCCCCTGGATTTGGCCCTTTGGTGAAGTGTATATCAGCTTCATAGAAAAACAAGTCCTGACCTTAGGTAGTTAACCAGCTTCAATGGGCTGGCTGTTCTTGTAGAGTGGTTAGCCATGGTGCGTGTTCCGATGGCACAGCGGCAGATTGTGTGACGCGACTTTCGGGATCCATCAAAAAGCCTCTTCCAACCACGCACCTACTGGTAACAAACTGCCGTTTTGATCGCCCACACTCAAGGCCCGCAACTGACACTCGAGTTCCACTTGGCCAAACTTACCCACGGAAAGCCGGCATTGATACGAGCAGCCAAGTTGAACGCTGCTGGTGTTTTCGGAAACGGGCCCAGGTTCTGGTTATGCGTCGTGCCACGCTTTTAAATAAACCATGGGACTTTCGGAACAGTTCTAGACGGATAAGATAAACGCAAAGAGGTGATACAAAGAGGTGGTAAAGGAAACTGCCAATTGCGTACCCACTCAGTCGCTTCTCTGAAGAGACCGGGTTGCGGTCACGTGAACAATCATCCCAGGCGTGGTGGCAGAGTGGTCTAATGCGCAAGACTAGAAATCTTGTTCCTTCGGGAGCGTCTGTTCGAATCAGGCCCACGTCGCAATTAGCAAGCCGCTCATTACGAGCGTTTCTTTTTCAACATTCCTTTTGCAGTTCGGTACGAAGCATTTCGATTGCCCCAGTTGTCGAGTCAAACTTGGAAATTGCGTCAATGCAAGGGATGAATGCGTGCCCTTTTTGCGGAAGGTGCAGCTTGCCTCAGCAGACTTGGGTCAACGAGTGAACCCCCACGCTGCTGTCAACTGATCCGATCGATTGGCTGCAGCTGGGGCACGTTTTCGGCGTCCAACAGTGCGGTTTCATCCCATCCTTCAGTGGATTGCCCGCTGTTGAGTCTCTGGACATCCTTAAACTTCCAACCCCTTGTTTCCATCGGACGACTCAAGAATTCATTGGGGCCAACCCGGAAACGATAAACTGAGTCCCACATTCGCAAACCCATCTTTACAACCTAGACATTCGTCCACTATTTCGAGCGCCCCGGTTTTATTGTTTCACCTACGGCGTGTTTCATCTGCTCAAAGCCAGGCGGGGCATAGGCATAGGGATCGCCTAACTCAATCATATTACAACAAGAATCTTCATACCACTTTCAGGGTCTGGGCAACCAAGGCTAGACGGACCATACAGTCTGGGAACGGAGTGGACTCAGTTTGAACGATTGTGCAGGCCTCTAAACGGGGGGTGAAGCTTGATAAAGGAGCAGAGAGGGCAGGATGATATCAATACCATGGACATGGCGTCGGTCCAAAACAGCCGCCGATTACGCCAGTGCCGTGATCCCCCTTTCCGAGGCCCATCGCCACAGCCACTCATACCGGTTACGGTCACAACCCGAACCAGAGGGGCAGCTGGAGGATGAAGCCTTCGACGAAGACGACGACCCGGACAAGGACGGCGATGACGGGGACACGACCATGCTTGTCATGGCTAATTCCGCTGCTGAGTATAGCATCGAGGGGTTGAGGAGAGAGGTGAGAGCGGGGAAGAAGGGGGGAGAGTGGACTACGTATGAGAGTGAGTAGTTATTCTAGTTATTCCTGGCTGGCTTCTGAGAGGTTAGGGTGGGGCGTTGTCAGGTCCAACGAATGCTAACTAGGCCTCGCCAGTGAAATCTAAGCTCATCAACAAAGCCATCCAAGATATTGGGATGGGGACGTATAACTGGCAACTGTTTGTGCTTTGCGGCTTTGGGTGGTTTGCCGATAAGTGAGTCTCTGTGCTCGTTGAATATCGCCCTATTATTGACTAACACATTCGTTTGTAGTCTGTGGATGCAGGGCGTATCGCTCACCCTCCCTTCCCTCTCAGCCGAGTTTGGCATCTCAGAGAAATCTGTGCGCTACACGACATCATCGGTGTTTCTGGGGTTGTGCTTCGGGAGCTTCTTCTGGGGTATCGGGTCCGATATGATGGGCCGACGCATTGCCTTCAACGTCACGCTCCTCATCGCTAGTGTGTTCGGTACCGCCACGGCGTATGCCTCAAGCTGGGGTGGAGTGTGTGTGCTGTATGCCATCTTGGGTTTCGGGGTGGGCGGCAACCTCCCCGTAGACGGGGCACTCTTTCTCGAGTTTCTACCATGACGCTTCCAGCTCCCTGTTAACCCTCCTCTCGGTTTGGTGGCCAGTTGGGCAGCTCTGTTCGTCCTTATTCGCCTGGTTTTTTATCGCCAACTGGCCCGTCGAGCAAGGATGGCGGTTCTTCGTCTTCACCATCGGCATGATCACCTTCATCATGTTTCTCGTCCGCTTCTTCCTCTTCCACATGTTCGAATCTCCGAAATACCTGCTCTCGCGAGGTCGACAGGCCGAAGCAATTGCTGTCGTGCAGGGCATAGCGCTCAAAAACGGCAAGAAGACTTGGCTAACCGAAGAGGTCCTGGACGCCGTGGTCGACGACATTGCCCCGCCAGCCCGGAGACGGCTCTCGACCAGAAACATCATCCGAAACAAGCTCGCCTCGTTCTCGGCCGAGCGCATCCGGCCTCTCTTCAACAGCCGCAAGCTTGGCATGGCCACCGCCCTGATCTGGTTCGCCTGGGCCACCATCGGGATGGGCTACCCCCTCTTCAACGCCTTCCTCCCCCAATATCTCTCACACGGCGGCAACAACGACGGCAACTCGGGTGATGCCCCCGCCTCGGAAATCACGGGCGACACCTACCGCAACTACGCCATTACCAGCATCGTCGGCGTGCCCGGCAGCCTGCTGGCGGCGTACTCGGTGGACATGAAGTCCCCGTTCCTGGGCCGGCGCGGCACGCTGGCCATCTCGACGCTCGTGTCGGCCGTATTTCTGTTCCTGTTCGTCCAGTTTGGCAAGACGCCCTCGTCGCAGCTGGCCTTCACGTGTGTCGAGGCGTTTGCTCAGAACATCATGTACGGCGTCCTGTATGCTTTTACCCCCGAGGTCTTCCCCGCGCCGGTCCGTGGGGCGGGTACGGGTGTGGCGAGTTTTCTGAACAGGGCTACGGGGTTGCTGGCGCCGATTATTGCTGCGACGGTGCCGGGGGATGGGACGACGACGCCGGTGTATATGGCGGCTGCGCTGATTTTGGCTGCGTTTGTGGGTATATGTATGATTCCTATCGAGACACGCGGGCGGCAGAGACTGTAAATCAAGAGGGGTGGAAAGTATGGTTGGGTTCTAGCCCAGCGGTTACCATTTACGGCCCCTAGTAGGCGGTTTGGGAGATGAACTAACCGGTGGATAGACACATAGAATGGTTTTACGGGCACGGGTATTTAATGTAGTTGCACCTGGCAAAGCAAGACCGGGGCGGTAAAATAGCATTGCTTTCTAAATCCACGTCTCTATCCAAGTTACTTAGTCCCCCTAGCCCCTGCCGGCGCTTCCATCCTGCGCTTTGCGAACGACTTCCCCAGAGCATCCCGCACCATGGGATCCGAGCGGATCGTGTTCTGGACTAGCCACTCCTTGACCTTAGCCCACATGGTGCTCCTCGTATCTTCAGTCCCCGCAAACGGCGCCATCTCGGTCTCCAACAACCGCGTGGTATCCACATCCAACCGCTTGACCGCCGCCTCCAACCTCTCCAACCCTTCCCTCAGCGCCTTCTCATCATCTCCACCCTTGGTCGCGCTCACCACCAGCTGCCCACTCCGCGTGTCCGCCGCTAGCAGTGGCCCGATCTGGGAAAACGCAATATACACCGTCACACTCAGCTTCCTCGCCAACGCGATCGCCTGAAAAGGCAGGTACGGCGGGCGGCCCGCCAACCGCCCCAACAACGGATTCACCACGCGCTCCAGCACGCGCGGCATACCAGGGCGGGTGACGCTGTGGGCCTCAAAGACAAACAGCACAGCCAGCACCAGCC